GAAGTTTACATAATACTGTTGTACGACAACATCAAATAGCCGCTTCTATAATTGCCGCGGCGTGTATATGTATGTAGGTAAAAATCATGGTTGGAACCAGTGTTGCCAGAACTTTTTGGACCAACCGGCTAAAATGGCAAAAAAAACGGCTAGTTTCAACTAAATTTCACAAGTTTTACTTAAACAAATCACAAGTAGAGAGATTAGTTCTTGGAGAGAAGTTTCAAATTCAAGCTGGAAAAAATTTTGCCAGCAAGAATTTGCAATTAGGAAAAACATATGGTTCTTGCACATGGTTGAATTTTTTGTCGACGATATGTTGAATAAACCAATTCGTTAGATTTAAAAATTTACAAACTTGAACGATTTTAAAATGAAAAATGTAAGTAAATACTTGTTTACTTAATTTAGTTAATTTCCAATGATTTGAAAAGTACTCCGCTGAAAAGAACTGTATTCGTAATCGGAATGCAATCTCAACCAGAACCGATATCAAAAACCCAACACGACAAGAAATTGAAACGTATGTTGAAGAAAGTCGGACCAACAAGAAATGTACATGTAGATCATTTGTTTTGGCCCTATGAAAGAATTTTAAAAATTATATACAAATTTCATATGTTTGAAATGCAACCGTGGACACTAGCTGGCAGGGAAACTTGCAAATTCCTGCAAACTTGTGTTCGTGCAGAAATTTGCAAATTTCTCTACTCGAGAGAGAATTTGGGAGCATTTTTCCTTACTATGTGATATTTTTATTGATAGTTCTCGCTGGATTTACGACGAACAAATCTATTGTCTTCCCAGAAAGTTTTGCTTTACATAGAAATTTGTGCTCTTTTATTCTCATTTTTATGCATTTCAGTGTTGGTTCCAGGGTTGCCACTCACGAAACAAAAAATACTTACCATCCACTTGAAAAAAATCTACCAAATCTAGAAAATATCTACCAATTACTTTTTTAGTTATTTTAATAAAAACTGTAGTTTTGTTCTAGTTTTTTAGTTATTTTGATAAAAATTTAAATTGTTTTTAAAGAACTTTTTATTTAAATAATGATATGGTATTTGGGATCATATTAATGGCACCTTCTCGATTTCCTTCAACTAAAAGCGATAGCGATGAAACTACGCTTGGTAATTTTATTAATATTCAAAATGTTTTTAAGTACATTTTTTTTGTTATTTTTTTTTATTTTTATTTTTTGTATAAGAATATTATTTGCGCTTTAACTAAACCCTAAAAAAACTGAATTTTTTGAAAAATTGAAGGTATGGAGTTTTATAGCCCATAGCATTTTAGTATAACCGCCAATGTACAGAAAAAAATTCCCGTTAATTTTTTTTTTGCCGCCAGTCAATTGCAATTGATAAAAAATGGGATTGATTTTTTAATTTTTTTTTTGTCAACAAACATATGTGTAATTACATACCAGTTAATTTTTTCCTTTTATTTAAAGAATCATTAAAAAATATTTAGGCAATAAAAAGCCTAATAAAATCCTCGATAAACATTACATCTGCATTTGTATATTAGAAGTGTGCATTAAAGCCTTCGAAAATTAACGCAATAAAGTAGACTTATTTTCTGTAAAGAAATTTATAATATAAAGATAACTTTGAAAAATAAAGCGGGCTCTAAAAGTTTTAATTGTTTTTCAAACAAAATACTTTAACAAAAATCTACCAAAATAAGAAAAAGTTTACCCTTTTACCACTCCAATTTTTCTCTACCAATTTTGGTAACAATTTACCAAAGTGGCAACCCTGGTTGGTTCTTTAAATTCAAGTTGGCCTCCGGTTTTTGGAATTTAATAAGTTCTTAGCAAAAAAAAAAGGTTTTAAAAAAGTATATACTTGTGTACATAGTGCTTGAAAATATAAATTTTTCCCTTACCTTGAACCTTTAAGCGTGGGCAACAATGATGTTATGTAATTAAGGCAGAATTGAATATGCGCTATCTGGGAAGACAATACCTGTAATATTTATTCTATGTGTTGGCACTATTTCCAAATACAAACGCGTGTAGAAAAAAACAGTGAAACAATTTGTTATTTTCAAAGTTTGCGAATAAAACTTCACACTTGAATTTAAGACATTCATAACAAATATTTTATGAAGAAAATCCCCGCTACGGCCTTCTTTAGAAAAAATATATTCGCTTAAAATAAAAATAAGCGAAATCAGCCCAATTTTATATAACCCTGCCTGACATGAAAATTTTTTTCCGCGATAAGACTAGCAGCCATTTAATTATTTGAATATTTATTTACCGCAAAAGTACGGTAAGATATTGAATGTTGTTTGTAAATTTTTACAACTCAATTACAAATTTTAATTTTAAACTAAACTTAAATTCTAAGGCTTAGCCAACAGTGAAAACAAGGTAAGAAATAGTAAAGCGTAAATAAGCAAGGCCTTACAGAACTAGAAGAGCGTATAAGAACAAGAGCTTACAGAAAAGTGGAGAAAACATAGAGGACCTAACTACATATACATACGTTGGTAACTAAGTAAAACAGATTTTGGATTGCCTAGTCAAAAATGGAAACATATATATTTGAATCTTAAGAAAACAAGGCAAATAGCAAAATCGGCTATAAACGGCTAATTTTTTTTACAAAACGGCTAACAAATCAGCTACCGGTTAAACCGAAATTCCTCCGGCTGTTTGCTATCTCAACCGGCTAAATCTAGCCGGAAAACGGCTAAAATGGCAACACTGGTTGGAACTTCAATACCAGTGTGACAAAGGCAGGCATGCTTGGTATAACTGACGGAAAACTTAGCCCCCAATGACGGACGGGATGATAACGGCCTAAGGCTGGTTAATTCCACTGCACAGTGGCCAAAACTGGAATTTACTGTTCAATGTAGTCCAGACACTTAATTTTTCAACCGATGTGATTAATTTAAATGAAAGCTAATAAAAGTTAGCAGAATTTAACTCTAGTAATGCGCGTTAACTCTCGCTAGAGTTTTACTGAAATAAAAATCTCTCTCAATTAAGTTTACACGGTAGAGCAACTGTAGGAGCTATTCACTCAAGGCGGGAAGCTATTGTAAAAGTCGTTGAAATGCTTACGAAAATAAGAGAAAATTTCCCTACGTTGGCTAATGCCTACGTTTGGCTACGTTCTAAATGTACCTAAAATGGTGTGCTTGTACCGAATATACGATTAGGACATTAGCCATTTCAAAATCTAACAAACTGTAATGAAATTCATTGTTAAGACTTTACCATATGTCTCCGCAGAGCCAAATAGAGCGTAGAGTTGTCGATCACGTAGACTGTGCAGATGAGTCTCTCTTAGAGCTCTATTGAGTGTTTCCACGTCTCTAGCGAGATTTTTATCTCTACTGTGTACACTTATCTTAAGAAAATAACTTTTATCAATTTTCTAAGCTTTAACTTCGAAATTACATATATAAGATTTTCTGATTTACTTAGCCTTTTAATGGGTACTTTTTTATTAGTTAGGTTCTTAAGTAAAAATTCAATTCCAAGCAGTCTGGCAGCTCCAAGTTTGAGGATATTTTGCTATCTAATTAATTCTTTTTATATAAAATTTAGCAACAAATTATACTAAAACTATAGAGTTCCTAGAAAAAGGGGTGATATTTTTAAAATCGGGGATCTTCTCCTACACATCGAAATTTTTCTACTCGATGTATCGATGCGTCGATGTTTTTTTTTGAAATTTGACACTTCTAGTACATTGCACCGCCATTTTAGATTTTCAATTGTGCAAAAATGAGAAGTGGGTTCCTTCAAAAAAAGGAAATGGCTCAAAAAAAAACTTAATTAGCTCAGTTACAGTGGTTAATTGGAAATTTTGTACAATTTTACTAATAACCTATTTTGTTGTGAAATATCTGAAAAATCTTATGCAAATCGAATCAAAGAAATACATTAAGACACTGGCACTGACATCCCTATTTCAAGGCCAACTGTGCTGATTGCCAAAATGATGTGTTTGTTGTAGATTTTTGTGTTCTGATTGTCATCGTGCGAATACAGTGTTAGGGAATTCGCATAAGAAAGACCTTTCTGTCACATTTCGGAAATCAGTTTCAGAAATAAAAGTTGCAATTCAAAGAGAGAAATTCGTTTACGAAAACATACATATTTCAACTTGCTCGTTGTGCACTAGAAATTGTTATTTCTGCTGCAAGTGCTGTAACGCTAATCGAGTGTTTGCCGTGTTACACTGATCGAGTTTGTGAAAAATAATAACGGACAGTTTTAAATAAAATATCAGAAATGCTTTTAATCATAAATAATAAATTAGTTATAAATAGTAAATTATTCTTCGAATTGAAAATAACGCGTATTCTTACGAACAGAAATAACGGTCAAGCGGCGCACGGTTGCATTTTAATATAGAGTATGGCATTCAATAGAGTAAGCATTCTGGATCCCGGGATACCGGGATACCGGACACTTTTCCATGTCCCGAAATCCCGAGATTATGAGATTTTTACTGATTTATTTACATAATCAGGCAAGTTCTACAGTCCGAGTGAAAGTGAATTTGAAAAGGAAAAAATTAATTCACTTGCTCTTGACATGAAATATGAGAAATACAGAATAACAAAATTTGGATTGAAAGTGAACATGAGTCGTTTGTAATCAGAAGTGAATTTCAGAACCTGCCTGAATAACTGAGAGCAAGGATTCATTGTAACGTTAATTTTAGCGTTTACCAAACAAAAGCAATCGTATAGAGAAATATTGCCAGAAACTCATTCGCTGTGTGAACAGCCAAAAAGTGATTTCCCAAATTTCCCGCGCGATTCGCCTTTCGGAAACAAAAAACCTCTTACGAAAGATACTTTAAGTGAAAGATGTGACTCCTCAAGCGACTGCTTTCTGATATTTCTCATTTTGACAGCCTTTTCGGAATATATTCATTGCATTTTCACGTCAGACACGCTCTTAACACTTTAGAAACTGTGAAGTGCCCACTGAATTCGAATGAATGAAAGAACGTATTTTATTTAACTTTATTACTATGTATGTATGCACGTAATTTTACTGTTTATTTGACTCCCCTTTGAATGACATGTGTCAGTATCTCCAGCAAAGTGTCACGCAGTCCTACATTCGATACTTCGTTAATACGCAGCTCGAGCTTGTTGAAGGTTTCGTCTTCGTATTTGGCATAGATGCGTGGCATATTCAAATCTTCGTAGAGCTCTTGAACACGGGCAGTCTTCTGCGGATCTGAAAAGGAAGAAATGTAATTACATATTTTAAACTAATTCAGCTATTACTTGTTGTCAAAATCTAAATTGTGTTTAACCGAATTCAAAAAAAGAGGGAGGTTCGGGTCAATTCGTCGGAATATTTGTTTTATTTATTTTACTGCATAACTTTGGACCACGGTTATTGATTTCTATGATTATTTTTTTTTTAAGGTGGTACCTACGAGGTGATCCCATTAGTATTTGGTTTAAATCCTATTATTGGAAATTAACGGTACTCTTAAATTTTTAAATTGGAATTGAAGTCAGTTTTGTTTTTTGCTTAAAAATTACTTTTTTTTTTGAGTTCGTTTAAACAGTTTTTCTATTTTTATACCTACCACTTTTCCCATAGCATTCCTCCATGATAGCTCTCTGTGCGGGGTTAGCTATTTCCAAGCAAACCACCGCCAACCAGGAGCATTTGTTCGACTGTATGTCTGTGCCGATCTTGCCAGTAAAGTTCGGATTACCAAATGAATCGAGGTAGTCATTTTGTGTTTGACAGAGGGTGGCCAAGTCGAAAGTAATGGCTTCACATTCTTCGTAGACCTTTTTATCCTTAACGCTATAGAGATAAAGATTAAAAAGCATATACATACAAATCTACATACATATGTACATATGTATACTACGAGTATCTCAAACTCTTGCTCACCCCGCCAAACGTAAACCCAGCGCTACGGGCAAATAGAAAAAGTTGCTGGAACTTTTATTATACACAATTGTATTGAATGTTTCCTTATTGAAGGTAAGGACATTATTTCTACTTATGATCATATCCAACGATTGGCCGCATATACATTTAAACGTGTTTTCATGAAATAGTTCGAGCAGTTCAACATAACAATCCAAGTGCCGAAAATGATTCTTAAGAAATTCATAGATACCGTTTTCAATCATCAGCGAATCATTTATGGAGTTCAGGCCTACTTCTTCTACCATATACCAACATGGCTTACCACGTCTCGTGGTGCTATTATCCACTATATCATCGGTAATAAAGAGTACACAATGCAGCTGAAAAAAACAAGGAAATTGTAAAAAAATATATATGATTTACTTGTAGAATATTTATTAACAACTGCCTACCAATTCGACACAACAACCAAGTAAGTGCGCCAATCTAATTTTCTCCGGGCTCAATTCATCACCTTTGGCAAAATTTTTGTAAGTTAGAACTGTAATTAAACCATTTTTTGCATTGCTCAATGATAAATTGTACTCCAAAGCCTGTCAAGCAAAAACAATATATGTATATCTGTAAAGTTTTATTCCATAGTTTTAAAAATTAGGCAGATACTATTTACCTTTCGAAACCATTCTACAGCATCTTCGCATTTATACCTATCCGCTATTGAAGTAAGCTCAACCACAACATCTGTAAACGAGACAAGATGTCGGCAAAGGTCTTAAGGTATAATAGTTATTAATTATAATTAAAAGCCGATAAGTATGGACCTCATCGTCAGTGTTGCTAGGTCGTCGTCGTGAGAAAACGTCCCTCTTGGTCTGAAAAAGCGTCATTTCCTACCCAAAAACGTCTTTTTCAAATGAATGTACAAAATATTGTTCTTATTAAACTTTTATTGTATACAAAGGTATATATGTACGTAAGGTATATTAAAATGTCAATTCGACAGAGCACATTTAAAATTCATTGTAAACTGGTTTGAGATCGTTAATACATATAAAAATAATTTTATACATACACTGATTAAGTCATCAACATTTTGATCGATTTTGGCTGTTTCTCTTTCTTTTATTTAATGTATATTATTTTTCCATAAATCCACAAAAACTGCAAAAATTATAAAAAATCAGCAAATTTTCAGCTAGATTTTCAACTTTTTATTCAGATTTTTTTTTGAGTATGCAGTTTGATAGCCCATTAAATTTCAGAGCAATAATGTGCAAGTTTAAAGGGGCGTTGATTTTTAATGTTTTGTTTCTTGTAGACATATTTGGTTAGGGGGTTCGGTTGTCGAAAATGCTAAATTACGTTCTGCTAGGAAGAAGATAGCAATATTTCAGTCTGTTTTGCGTTCATTACATTTTCAATGTAGTCCTAAAAAAGTCGCCTACTTTTTTCTGACGTTTTATACTGCACAGCTATTTTGATGCTTTTGCGACCGTGCGTGTTGCAATAGATCGGCTCTTTCTGATTCAGCTTTTAATGTGCAATTGCAAACATTACAGCAAGCCTCGTAACCTCAAGTGTTAACACAACCCAGCCTTTGAACACAGGATCCTTAGTCCAAGAATCCAAAAAAAAAATCTTTTGAAGCAGCTGCAGCAAAATGCAAAGATTGTAAAGATTTATTAAGAAAATAATTCAAAATCAGTTCTTCTTGCAAGATTTAGTAACAAAGAAAAATTACTGTGAAGTTAAAAAACGTCATTTTTTACACAAAAAACGTACAAACGTCAACAGGATACAAAAAAAACGTCCAAATGACGTTAAAAACGTCAACCTGGCAACGCTGCTCATCGTACCCCAAAAACGCAGAAACCCACCCCTGCTCTATTTCCCCCTTACCGTGGAACAACTGCTAGGTATTACTTCGCGGGGGAGGAGCGGTCTATTGTATTTCTATCGCTTTGCGCTGATCGCCCTTCCGACAGTTGTTTAACTATCATGACCGCTCATACAGTGGATCTACTCTTTCTAAAACCGAAGTGCATATCCGAGAGTCCTCCACCTACCTCGATTGCTGCAGCTAGTCTATTGCTCATTACACGCACTAGAAATTTTCAAGGCGTAACTAGCAATCGAGCGATATGCTGGATATGCTGAAGGATCTCCCGGTGAAGCAGCAGCCTTGGGTAGGGGAAACGCTTTGTTTCCATATAAATAAGAAGGAACACATCATTGGCAAAGCATTCCTTGAATGCACCAACGAATACTCTTTCCTTTTGTAAAAGTTAGCTTCGACGTTTGCTCTGCCTCTTCGGGACATGTTATATAAACCGCACTGAAGTTTCCAGCTTTTTTGTAACCACTTTGTACGCTAATTTCAACTGGTCCTGATCTACGCTATTGCATATGCTCTGGAAGTACTCTTGCTTGCTGTTCTTTATAGCTTGTTTCAGCTTCTTTCACGTACGCTTATAGAAGGAGTGTTGGTCTACATACGGCCCTCGTGCTCTGTCTCTTTGGTAGCTTCGCCTCGCTCTGTTGCATGCCGCCGCAGGTTTGCTATGCGATCGCTCCTCCGTGCTGCTGAAGGAATTGCTTATCATGGAAGCATCACAAACCTTTTTAATACCGGATGTTAAGTGGTTTGCCTTATTCGTAGCTCACACTGGTAAAACAATTTCCGATACCATCGACGTCGTATATGGCTGTTCCATCACTTTTTGGGAAGCAGATAACTGGGCTCGAGTTCATCGTGAGCTTAGCCATACTAGTGTCCTCTTTGTCCTGATTAGGCCTGTACTACGCCGTTTAAGCGGCGATGAGATTCAAATCAGAGCATAGCTATTGGAAGGTTTTTAGTGTCTGAGGGTCAAGAGCAAAGCAAGTCGGCCTAATAGCAAATTCATGAGGCCAATTAAAGAAACAGGCAAGTATATCTGTGTTCGTATGGAATAGTAGCTTATGTCGGCAAGCTGGCTTTAGTATAATGCGGCATTCCCTTCATTCTTTAAACGACAAAAATTTTTTTGATGAGACTTAATAAGAATATTGACTTGCTAGTATCGGAAGTATTTATGCACGTTTATTTGCCAAAAGTTTTTCAAAGGCTCGGCGCCAGTGAGCCATTCGCAATCGTGTGCTGCAAATGCCGCATTATACTAAAGCCAGCCTTTCGACATAAGCTACTGTTCCATACGAACACAGATATTTTTGATTACGCATTCACCAAAATACGGCATGAGTCCGCTTCTTTCGCAATCCAAATTCCTAGTATAGAGAACCGAATTAAATGCTGGATACTTTTAAAGAACTATCAGTTGTTTTACTTTCTGTAGATTTTTAAGTTCTTCCTTTATAAATTTTGTCTGAAAATAACCTTAGTCAAATTTTTTTCAAATAATTCTGTAGAATATCGAAATCCCCTAGCAACTCTCTAAATTACTTAATATTTTTTTTAGACTTTAAACGTTAGATGAATTCAGCATTAACAGATGAGTCGCTATTTACTGGGTGCCAGTACACAAAGCAATTGCATGGAATGAGCGGGCTGATATGCTAGCCAAAATCGGGGTTAAATTACCACTGGGAAGTACGCCAGATATATACCAATCCCTGAACTTACCCTCCATATTTTTGGGCCTACTGAGTGAAGACTTCCGAAATAATATTTTACATACCTGGATAAACAGCCAAATGTTGGTTGATCTCGTCCTTTGACATTGTCAAACGCGGTTGGGATTGAGCAGGCTGAATTTCTAATGTTGATTGTTTGCTAAATAAAAGTTGGTTAAATAAACAAAATAATTACAACGTATCCATTATCTTGTACGTATGTATGTACATTAGACACAAAAAAAAATTTTGGTCGATGTATGGATCGCCTTTATACATTTTTCGCATTTACAGGCAGTTCTTAAAGAATGATGTATCCATGTTTTTGCCTCGAATATACTTTTTTTTAAAGTTTATTGACCTCACCATAATGTCAGTAAATTACAGCTCTCCAAAAACAAATCAACTTTTGTTAAGGAAGTTTTTTGATTATTCCAGTGGCTCGAATATCTTTGAACATGGGTATTTAAAAAAAGTAAAAAGTGACCCCTAGGTTCGAACAAAAAAAAATATTTTTTCGAAGTCGGCTTGCAATGTAAATAAGACTTTTGGGGACTTTTTTTGTATTATCTTGTATGGTGGTACGATCTAATGTACATACATATGGTTATATATGTATGTAGGTGAGTATGCAGTAAATTTAGGGTGTTATTGGCACGTATTCATAGTCCAGCTACTAAGTCGAAACTAATAAATTTGCAACTTAAATTTAAGTACCAACTTAAAATTCACTTCTATTCATAGTCGCATTTCAGACTTCTA